CACACACACACACGCACACACACACACACACACACACACACAAAAGCATGCAGTCTTGCTTTTTTCAGGCAAGTGATTGTCCGCTTTGCATCGACAGAGTCTTACTCGAGGTTCATGATGATGTTGGCTTTAATGTGTGTTGGTGCCATGTGTTTTGTGTGTCTTTTCGGCCTGTTCCTCAAGCACAACAGCCGCAGTAATTCAGGTGAGCAGGTCTCTGTGGATCATCTCAAGCACACCAACACCATCTGATCCATTTGAAACCACATGACCGACAGTTTAACACATGCTTATATGTCTCGCCCTAAAAGACAGTCACTTGGACTTTACTTTAACACTCACATTCTGTTGAAGCCCATGATACTTTAATGGGAAAATCTTTGGAGTAAAAAGGCTGATATAATGCCAAAATATACATAATATAATTTTATGGCAGCAAATGATAAATTACAACATTTTTTAAATTAATTTAACACTTATTTTACTTAATAAAAACACTTAATTCCTTTATCATTTTAAAGTGATTGTTAAAACATTTAAGAAGAACAAACAAGACTACACATCTATTCATGGTATCATAGATAATGGATCATATGGTGCATTCATGTCATGTTGGATATATTGTAATTATGAGTTGAACGCACATGAATGCCACCACAGAGTCATTATTACGAGAGGGAAACTCGAAATTTCCTTTAAGCCCCGAGTCAGTGAGAAAACATGTCGGATGCAATGGATGCAGCCAAAGATTAGAGATATGCAGCATCTGTTTTGATGGTAAATTTGTTGAAATGAATAAAATGTTTTTTTTTTTGGTTATGTATAAAAGTAGGCCTATATAATTTACATATACAAAATATTATATTAATGTATAATTACCATAGAATATATAATGATTCAGTTTACATCACCTTCATAAATTGAATATTGATTGTTGACGGAGACTCAACACGAACAGAAGATCAGATCTACACAGAACTGGACAACAATAGACAGAGTCATGTGTACCAGAGTCTCACAGCTGATTCTCTTCATGAATCGATTTATCACACTATTGATCACGACTGACTGAACACTGAATCCTCACCAACAGCCAATCAGGATCCCAGATTCTCTGACCATCCAAACATGAGTCAACATCCAAACTTTTTTGTGTTGCTTTCACAAAATCAGCTTAAGATGGTATTTTGCTTATTAAATTAATACAAAAATCGTTCTCATTTGTCTCGCGTAGTTTTATTAACCCATTTGTGCCTACATTTTTCTGAATGGTTTCATGCATATAGTCGTGTTAATACTGTCCTATGTGAACATATTATTTGCATTTTCCCCAGGTTTTTTTTTTTCTTCTTGAAAATCATATTTGAATGTGCGGCAACTATATGTTGTATTCACCCCTTCAATGTAAAATTTGAATAGGAGGAGAGCTTTTGGCATCTAACTCAAAATAACTGCTTTCAGCAGATCAATCTTTATTCATAAACACATTTATTATGCATTAAAGTCCAAGAACATTTGATGCAAACCCAAAAAAGGCTGCATCTAGCTTATAATCTCTTGAATATGAAAACACAACACGTCCATTTGTCTTAAAGCGGTGGAACATAGTGCAGAACAAAGTGCAGCCATTAAGTTGCCCCAACAGGGTATTGTCATTCAAAAAGTTAAATGAAAATAAATAAATAAAGATAAATAGAATGAAGAAAATATTACATCTATATAATAAAAAGGTATACCTGAAAGAAAATTACGCGTTTGATTACCGACATTCTGCAACATATCTTCTTTTGTGCTCAGCAGAAGAAAGAAACTCATAGGTTTGCAACTTGAGGGTGACTGAATGATGACACAGTTTCCATTTTTGGGTGAACTTTCCCTTATGTAAGCAGTGAAGGTACAAGCAGTTTTATAAATTTACATAAACATATTTGCATGCTATACTTTGATGTAAATATGTAAAATATCACATATTTGATGAATAGGCACATATTGATTAGGTCAAATGGATTAACCCTGATAAAAGTCCTTGATATTCATGAAATTAATGATATTATTTTTAAAATATATGCTTATTTAAATAATTATAATGTGTAGGCTGTCAGACTCTGTTCCATGTTTTGTGTGTGTCCTGCTCCCCATGTGCCTTCCCATGCCCTTATTTGGTTAGTTTCCTGTTCCTCCCCTGAT